TCCACCAGCTGGTGGAGAACACAGATGAGACATTAACGAGGCCCTGTTTGACATCTGCTTCCGTACTCAGAAAATCCTAATGCCCACTTACGGTGACCTCAACAACCTGGTCTCAGCCACCATGAGCGGGGTGACCACCTGCCTGCGCTTCCCTGGCCAGCCGAACGACAGTCTGAGGAAATTGGCTGTCAACATGGTGCCCTATCCCCGGATGCATTTCTTCATGTCAGGCACTGCCCCACTGACCAGCCGGGGCAGTCAGCAGTACCGGTACTGAAACACAAACCCTGTTCTAACCGTGAAACCAGTTTGTTTTTTGTTCAAACTAAAACTGACCTTTTGTTTTCCTCCACCTTCAGGGCTCTGACAGTCCCTGAGCTGACCGTGCAGATGTTCGACGCAAAGAACATGATGGTAGCGTGTGACCTGCGCCACGGGCACTACCTGACGGCCGCCGCCATCTTCAGAGGACGCGTGTCCATGCAGGAAGTCAAGGAGCAGATGTTGAACATGATAGACAAGAACAGCAGCTACTTCGCGGAGTGGATCCCCAACGTCAGAACGTCCTTCTTTGACATCCCTCCACACGGTCTCAAGATGGCCGCCACTTTCATCGGCAACAACACGGCCATTCAGGAGCTGTTCAGACGCACCTTGGAGCAGTTCACCGCCATTTTCCGCCGCAGAGCCTTCCTCCACTGGTGAGTAAAACACACAGAGCAGATCTGTGTTCTGGTGCTGGTCCATTCTGACAGCTCTGTTCCTGTGACAGGTACACTGGTGAAGGTATGGATGAGATGGAGTTCACCGAGGCTGAGAACAACGTGAACGACCTGGTGTCAGAGTATCAGCAGCACCAGGACACCACCGAAGAGGAAGAGGGAGAGTTTGAGGAGGAAGGTGAACACCCACCGTGATTTATTTCAGGCTTTAAACCTGATCAGCCATAATCAGTTCAGTTTAAACAATATATATATATATTGTGTATAAAATGTTGATTTAATAGTTTAATAAAGCTTTTTGACCTGGTGCTACAGCTGGTCTCATGTTTTTATTCTAAGCTGTATGTTTTTGTGCTTTACTACATTCACTTAACCTGATAGTAAAGAAATCCATTGATCGCACACCAGGGCTAGAGGAGATCAGGGAAAAAGCAAGAAAAATAGTTGGTTATTTTAGGTCCAGCACAACAGCAAAGGAGAAGCTCTGCCAAATGCAGCAGCAGTTGGGTCGGCCCAACCTAAAACTGCTGCAAGAGGTTGAAACCAGATGGAACAGCACTTATACCATGCTGCAGCGTTTATTTGAGGCTTTAAACCTGATCAGCAGTAATCATTTCAGTTTAAAATATATATATAAGTAAAGATTTAGTTCACTGTTTAAGTCTGGATAAATTGAGCAGTTAACATTGGATTTTAAGTCTGTAAAACGACACATTTTGTTCATTCAACTTCTTTTTGTGCTTTTTAAGCAGCTAAACTGACATTTCTGAATGTAGAACTTAAGTTGAGCTTTGGATAAGATATTCTGTATGTTTGTTTTCACAGGTGTTTCTGTAAAGTTCTCTTCGCTGTGAAATATTTTGTTTAGATTAAAACTGTTTCATTTTTTTTTGGACCGAAACAGTGAGTTTTCTGTTCTGTAAATGTGCCTTATATAGAGTTTAATAAAGCTTTTTGACCTGGTGCTACAGCCGGTCTCATGTTTTTATTCTAAGCTGTATGTTTTTGTGCTTTACTATTCTGAATCTGAAATTCAGTTTTACAAACTCAACGGGATGAAACAGGAAATATCAGATTATTTTAATTTTACATAAAAACTTCCTGTTCTTTATTTGCATACAACAGAGATTCAACTGAACAATATGTGAACTGTATTTTACATCAACATAAATGAGTTAAAAACTGAACCAAAATTAAAAATCGTTCTGTAATGTTGGTGTCGAACATCAGAAAAATGATCTGAAGGAGGCTGAAAATCAGGATTTTTACACTTTAATGTATTTTGATGTACTGATGTTTTGAACCCATTCTTCCCAAACCATTTTATTGACACTTAATTGCAACAATAACTGCTTTTGTTTTGAGCAGTTTTCTTATCGTTAAGATAAGAGTTGAATTCATACAGAAAAGCTAAAATGTGGAGAAATAAATCTCCCATCATAAGGAATGACTAAAACCAGTTAAGGACATTTTCTGTTGGAATACAGATGATTTTAGATGATTAAAAAGCTTGTTTTTTGTCTGCTCTTGATCAGATTCTTCCATGTGCCTCAAACTTTTAACCATTAAAGGTTAAAGAAGAACAATGTTTAAGAAATAGGCAAAAGCTGTAAAAGCAGCAAACACCTAACAAGAATAGAAAAGAGTCTAAAACAATGGAAGCGAGTGTGTGAAAAATATATCTTAGTATGTATCTGTATATGTATGTAGTAGTATCGTACTATGGGGGAATTATTTGTAAATTAATACATTTTTCTTAGAAAAAGTGTAAAGTAAAAAAAAACAAAGTTAAAAAGTCAGCTCTTACATCCTGAATAGCATCACTTCACAAGAAAATCATCTCAGGGTATTGTAAAAAAAAAAATCAGCTAATTATTATTTTCGATATCAGTAAAATACAAGGACATACAGTACTGTGTGAAATACCACTGAGTGAATATTCTAAGGAAGCCAGTGAATTGAAATAAAGTTTCACTTTGTCACAATCTCTGTTCTTGAGCAGCATGTTGGCTGCAGTGGAAAGGAACAACTCTTTAAATGGAGGAAAAAAAAACTTCAACAGGACCAGGTTCAGAAGGGGAGGCCATCTGTTTCAACCAGCTGGGGGTCAAGAGGACAGGAAAGATAGAGGACAGGGAAAATATCCTTTATGCAATCAATAAGCTAGAAAATGACATTATTTTTTATGACAAAAAGATATGACTTGTGTTGCTCTAGAAGTATTGATTCTCCCAACTAAATGTTACTGTAGCTTAGCAAATTAAATTACAGCTTGCTTGCAAACATAGCAACAGTTTCTTTTTAGCCATCAATAACTGTTGTGTCTGAAACATTTTATTCAATTTTCTACCAAATGGGAAATTATAACATGGAGTCATTTTTTGTGCACTGTTACATAAAATCACATAGTCATGTGACAAAATGTGTCCCCAACAGAGGACACCTACAAAAATGTGTTAAATACTGTATTTTTTCTTCAACATTTTTCCTTGATGGTGTCAGATGTGTTTTTATTTTTATTTATTTTTTATTTTTTGTTGTTGTTTGTATGCATTTTTATGTGTGTGTGTTGCGGCCTGAAAAAGGATAACATGAATAAGAAACCTCTGACACGATGCTTCTGTAACCAGTGTATATTTGTATTTTGTTATAATTACACAAAATGTTCTGTTAAGATTGTTTTGTACCTGGCTGTAAACACTGTGTGACCCACTGTGGTTGTAGGCGTGTGAACTTGTGATTGGAAGCCCCTCCCCATTTCTTCCTATGTGGTATTGTTTTTGTTAAAGTGTTCAAGTACACTTCGCTGCAGCATGCAGAACGGGGCGGTGACGGACCTTTCCGTCAGTCCCATACCTTATATGGAAATGGGATTATTGCATTCTGAAAATGAAGGGGGCGCTAGTGACACTATTTTCTATCGAACACTTTCAACATTAAAAATACAAATTTAACATTTCCCGTACCAACCGTGTTGTCCGTCCCCGCCCCGTTCTGCATAACCGTAGGGTTAGGGGTTAGGGTTTGTGGCAGGAAGAAAGGAAAAAAGATAACACAAGATGTTCAAAAAAACAAAACAACATAAGATCACAATATACAATCATACAAAAACACATACAAAACACAAATTCATGTCCAGACAATTACATACAACAATAGATTTAAAATTTTTCTTTGAGTGCATGACTGGGATAGTCCCATTTCCATATAAGGTATGGGACTGAYGGAAAGGTCCGTCCCCGCCCCATTCTGCATGCTGCAGCGAAGTGTACCTCAAAGTGTTTGCACCCCCTGGGTCCTGAGGGAGAGGTGGGTGCTATTGATTTTTCATCAATATACATCCAGCTAGTTTATAGATGTATTAAGTGCATTTTTGTTATCATCATCACTGTAAGATATATATTCACCCTGTAATAGGAATATTTGAGCGAATATATGACTGTGGAGTGACAGGTACTGATTTTTGTTTGGTTTTATACTTTTGCTTATAGAGGACTTGGAGTGGGCAGATCATAACTCGGTCGCTTTTCTGTTTATTGTTCTTGCCAGAATAAACGGGGAAACAGCT